GCGGCCTTCCAAGCTATCACATAAATGGTCATTAGTCCTTCATGCCTCAACACAATTGACCACAATAACCCCGGCAACAACAAAATCTTCCTCACAACAGATGCCAGCTATTGGCGTATGGATGCAATGCTGCCTTGGGGACCCTGTTGAGAAACTGGCCGCCCGGTCGCCTTTGACTCCTGCAGCTGCATGGTGCTGAGCTCAACTACCCTGTCCACAAAAAATAATTACTCACTATCATTCGTGCACTCAAAAAATGGCAGGTAGAATTGTTGGGTGTGCCAATCACAGTTTTTACTGTTTATTGCATGCTGAAAAACTTCTCTGCACAGTGCGATCTCTCTCGTTGTCAAGCGCAACGGTCCAAATATATGGCCCAATACAATTTAACTATTGTATACCTCAAGGGCAAAAACAAATTGGTTGCTGACACGCTCTCCTGTCTGCCTCCCCAAAGCGGTGATGATTGCTCTGCTTTTGTGGCTCCAGTGCTTGCCGTCTCCGTAGATAAGGATCTCCTCAAATGTATCCATGATGGATATGATGCCGACCTGTTCCGCCTCAAATTAAAAAACAAAACCTCCTCTCTGTTCATAATGCTGCCTTACAAGACGGCTTACTCTTGTCATTCCCCACGTGAACAACATTCACGAACATCTCTTCCAACTCACCCATGACACATTGGGCCATTTTGGTGCTGACAAGTCTTATGTGCACCTTCAAACTTCTTACTACTGGCCAAACATGCGCCGAAATCTCGCCAACTCCTATATCCCTGCCCGCCCAGATTGTATGTGGAACAAGTCCTGAACAACAAAACCACCCGGTCCCTTACATCCACTACCCATACTAGATGCGTGTAGAGACTCCGTTGCCATCAATTTCATTGGTCTTCTTCCAAAAGATGACGGCTTCAACATGCTTATCACCTTGACCAATTGTCTCAATTCGGACATTCAACTCATTCCCTGCAAGGACTCCATTACCGCAGAGCAGCTTGCTCTTCTCTTCTTCGACCATTGGTATTGCAAAAATGGATTACCATTGAACATTGTTTCCTACTGTGATAAACTTTTTATTTCCCCATTCTGGTGTTTGTTACACATTCTTACTTTCAACAGCTTATCACCCACAGACAGATGGAGCCAGCAAACGGACACCATCAACCAATGTCTCCAGTTTTTTGTTGCCTGTAACCAGTTCGGCTGGGTTAAGGCTCTACCCCACGTATGTTGTAACCTTATAAATTCCCTTAATGCGAGTACTGGCTTCTCCCCCTTTCAGCTCCACATTGGTTGCTCTCCACGCATGCTACTGCCCCTGCTTGCCACCCCACCTTCCAACACCAATTTGTTTGATGCATCACGCTTCTTACAAAAATGGGACATCAGGAAAAACCCTTTTGCTATATAGCGCTATATAGCCACCACCTATATATATAAATGCATTTGTAGAAACTATAGTACTATCAGTGCAATCATAGCTCTTATAGCTCTTATAGCACAGTAGTAGGCAAAAATTTAACCAAGGGGAGAAGTATCTATAATTCCCTCAAACTCTGGATTAATCTAATAAACTTGTTCAATAATAGAAAGAGGCCAGAAGTGTTTGGAGTCAAGTATATTATTATAGGCAAGTTACTATAAGTGCTCTTATAGCCTATAGCAGCCTACATAGCTCCTATAGTTGTAAAGGTCATAGTTATAATATAGTTCAAGGTGCTTAAAAGGGCTAATAAATCATACAGTATTAATTATTTATGTAGCCTGTATTAATGAAATAGTAGTCTGTATCTTTGATATTTATAAAATAATAATAATAATTTATCCAAATATAAGTGGTGACAATGATTTAAAAAAATCTAAGTCCATAAAAGGTCAAAATATAACACCTGTATAATATATTTTATAAGCTCTCATGGTGTAGTGGATAAATGTGATGTGTGGTGATAGGTTGCTTAGTCACCTAAAAGCTGACTAGCAGGTTGAGAGTTCAAATCCTGTCTGTGTGAATTTTTTTTTTATCAGCCACACAACAATTTCCAACATCTATAAGAGCATTTATAGAGCTATATGAGGCTCTATAGATGGCAGAGGTTCTATAACAGGTTTGACCACTATAACAGCTTTATGAGTACTTATAGTGCTATAGAGCTCTATATAGCTACCCCTATTTTTCCTGATGGAGCTGGATGTTGCGGAGGCACAAGACTGCCTGCTTTCCACCAAAGCTTCCCAGGTGGCCTCAGCTAACAAATATTGTGCCCCCAACCCCACTTAAAACATTGGGGACTTTGTTATGCTCTCAACAAGGAATTGTTGCTGTGACTACATTCAAAAGCAAGATGGCCGCATTGCTAAGTTTATGCCACGCAATGATGGCCCCTTCAAAATTATATTTGCTGACCATGAATCCTCTACCTACACTCTAGACTTACCTAACTCACCCAAGGTCTTCCTGACCTTCCACATGTCTCTCCTTGAACCTCATCATGACAACGACGACAAAATCTTCCCTTCCCATGCTTTTGTTCAACCAGGCCCTGTTTTTACGGCTGATGGACAGCAAGTACATCTCATTGATCACATTATTGGCAAGTGCCACGTAGATTGTGGCAAACAATATTTGGTCTGATGGCTTGGCTTCCCCCCCAAGCATTACGAATGGATGAAATGTTCGGATCTCAAGGATTGTCAAGCTCTTGAGAATTGGCTCAAGAAGATGGCTGGGGAGGGTGTAAGCGAAGAGCTTACAACTCAATGACATTATAGGTCATAAATGTCAGAATACTCATTAGAATCCTATAGTACTATATAATCATGTCATCCACTACATTGTACAGTAGACTAGTTTTTTCCCCCTTGTTATCATATCTCGATTTCAATTCTGTCCTTCTCCTCTGTTAGTGTTTCCACCATTGGGTATCTTCCAATACAGTGCTATACAGTGGCAATATTTTGAGACATATGCTATATGAGCCATGATAGCACCTCTATGATACATGTGATTTACCTCTATTATAGTTTTTGTTCTGTGAAAATAGGAACACTCAGTTCAAGTTTTTTGGAACTAAATATGATGTATTAATCCTAACCTGTGAATATAGACACTTCAGTCACCCTCCAAATGAGGGCATTTAGGTTGAACATTGTGTGTAAAATTACCATCCTAAATGCCTATTTTTTTGGGCAAGTCTCATCCCTATGGGATAATCCCAAAGAAATGTCAGATGTCACAAAGTGTCAGGGGGGCTTGGACTGGTATTTCTGGACAGCATTCAAACAATATAAGTGACAACTACAAATGAAAATATAGTTAAGATTATTTGGAAGCATTAAATGCATTATTTTTGACCACCCTTAGAATGCGCTGGCATTTGCAAAATGATAGTATTTATGATCTAAATTTGTAACACCATAATATTATATCATTCATGTCCTTAGTATACTCCATTCAAAACATTTAATGGAGTAAAGGAAATTTAATTAAATTCTGTCAACTGTAAGGGTGCAAACATGAGATTTCCAGCTGGCTATCCTACATATATTGCATGGTGAATATACTAATAGCAGAACAACTTCCCTATATATTATGTAATCAATAGATTGTGGGCTCTGTTTATTTCTTTTATATTTTGTTAATTCTGTTGATTCTCTTTAATGACTTTGATGATTTTTTTTTAATTTGTTTTATTATGATTATTCTCATTATCTTGTTTATTTCTTTTAGTTTATTCCCTCTAAACCCTTCTAATTTCTTGTAATTTTATTTATTAATTCTATTGAGGTTGATGTGTGCGGCTTTCTTTTATTTGTAGATACAACACTCTGACACAGTGGAGCTGGTCACACGTGCTGTGCCCTATGACATCATCAGCCACTGCCTTCATCAACTGTATAGTACACATATACAAATAATCTGTAGATGTATATAAAACCCCAATAGATCAAGGAGACTCCTCAGCGAGCCCTCCTGTTGTTTACCCACAACTAACTCAGTCCTATCTTAAGGGGTAACCACTCCCACTCACTTCACTACTGCTTGTCTGAGTTGTGCACCAGAGTATACAAACTGTTGGTTGTAATATTAGGACTCACTCTCATTACTCTCTCACACTTTGTGCAAACCCAGACCACAAGGTTAAGTGGAAGCCTTTCAAATAGTAAGACTTGGGTGCCAGTCTGGTGTTGAGCATTTTCTAGCCAGCAAAAACCAAGTGTGTGCCCCAATCCTGCAGGTGAGCTCCTCAGAATGAGGTACTAGAGAGAATCAAACCAAACCATACACGGCCCCCAGTGTTAAGGAGAGTACTCTAGCTCAGCAGTTGGTGTAGAACCACTGTTGATTAGATTTAGATACAAAACTTCTTCTTTGTTTTCCTCTGACCAGGCCGGACACTTGCCTCCAACAGTCTGGAGAAGTGTTGACAACTTAACAAACAGACCACCCCCTGACAACTGTTCGGACCAGGGAAGAGGTAGATTTGCAAACAGCAAGCGGGGACCCCCAGTTACGTTTTTCTACATTTACAAACAGAACAAGTTGACATATCATCACAACCACAACCCAATGTCAACACTCTGTTGCACAACATGTGTGCACAGATTTTTTCATTGACCACACAGCTCAGCGAGCTTCAGACAAACCCCCCTGAAGCAGTTGGGAAATATTTAGCAAGAAGGTCAAGATCATCACTGACCCCAACACTTTTAAAGGAGACTGGGCTCAATTTGCTGAATGGTAGATCAAGCTCCAAATTTGGATCAAGGCAAACTGGGATGTGTTTGCCGATGATTTTGAAATAGCGACAGTAGTGCTGTTGAGACTAAAAGGACTTGTGGCGGGTCAATACGCCCAAGTGAGACTCTAAAAATATATACTGCTGGTCACTGGCCTACAATACTTGTGACGAGCTCAAAGTTGAAATTGAAAAATATTGCAAGCCACAAGCTGAGCGTGACTGGACACACTAGCAAATCTGTACCTTCAAGCAAGGCAACATGAGGACAGATGACTTTGTTACCCGGTTCCTGGCTCTCTCTATCCAAGGGGGCCTTGGAAATGAACACGCAGTAGAGCTGTTGGAGCACAATGTGTCACCAGCCATTGCACAACGGCTCTACATACAAGATATGTGGAATGAGAACCTTGCAGTAGCTGCTGAGGAAGTTTGGAAAATTGGTAGGGCCATAGAGCTCTACAATATGCAGTTCAGTGGCGGGTCCATCACCAAAAATAACTACTCCCAGAGGCACCCTGAGTCATCAAACCAAAATCATAATCACGCTCATGGGTTCAAATTGTTTGGGCTGCAGCCAGGACAGGGTGCTCTTATGAATATTGGTGTGGTCCAAGGCAGACAGATGCACAGGTTCAAGGACAACTATTACAACTGTGGTAAGGAGGGACACACGTCCTAAAACCGTAGAAATTGGGTGCAGGCTGCCGAACAAAAAAATAACCAAGGGCGCCAGGCACGCCAATTAGAAACAGAGAAGCCGGATGATCGGCTCAATTCATTGGCTGATCATTCATACAATGAAATCCGGGCCTTCTTCTATGATTAGCAGGTTGCTGAGATGAAGGCCCAGGGGAAAAAATTTGGAGCTTAGGTCACTTGGGTGCCTTTGCTCCTATTAACAATGAAGTAAACCACAACAAGGTGGCCCCTGCTCCGGGGTGTTGCACGAGCAATAAAAGAAAGGGGGTGGCTTGCCAATTTGTAAATAAATTTCTTAATTTATTATCAGAAGTATGTACTTGTATTAGAAAATGTGATTGTAATATGTATGATACTACCGCTGCACCAGCGTCTCCCTTAGAGCATGGCCCTGGGAAAACAAATACTAGGGTGCTTGATTCTGGTAAAAATAAAAATAAAAATATAGACAATACAAAAGTAGAAAAACATTTTTCTCTTGATGTTTCTTCTTTTTCTTCTTTTTCGCCACTTTCCAACGAATCCCAAGGTGTGTGTTGATGCGCACATATTTATTCCAAAGAGAGATGTGTTTAGATATTGGTGTGGAAGACCTTGCCCAGGGAATAGTACACCCAACCAGCACACTACTTGATTCAGGTGCTAATGGCATCTTTATAAATCAGGTCTGGGCAGAGCACTATTGATGATGAGAACTGTTGTTAGAAAACCACACACAAAACAAACTAACACACAATCCTCCCAGATTCCACGGAACTTGTATATGGGTTTTGCCTCCTAGAACAGTGGGTGCTCTGGCTGTTCGTGGGGTGGTATGTATGACAATCCTTCAAAGTAAAACCCAGAGATGTATGGGTGTGGGTTTTGAGGAGGAGGGATAGTTGAACTATAGAAGATAGGGGCTTTTTGAGATGAATATAGGATGAGCACTACCTTGCTAATCTTAGCACAAGGTAGGTTTGAGAATGACAAGATAACAAGGTTCCCAGTGATAGCGGGCTCCTGACGCACAAACTGTAGTGCTCAGAAGGACTCTAGTCGAAAGGGATGACAATCACTTTCGAAAGTGACAAGTGACGATGACAGCAGTTAACAGTAGTAACAGTGGGGAGTGTTGTGACCACACTGGATCACAAGTAGCAGAGTAGTGAACTTGAGATTTAGAGAAGAAGTCTGGATTGGATTTCTTGTTTTTTTTTTTTTTACAAGGTAGAATACAGGGGTTTATATAGTAAAAGAAAAGTAGGCTATGCACAGTATAGCTGTGCAAAAAGAATGAGAAAGAACATAAAGGAAGGAATGTACACTGATAAATCCTGCATAGGTAGTACAGGATAAGATTGTCAAAAAAAGGAAAAGAAAGGGATAGAACAATGAATGCTGTGAGTAATGTCACAGGTTTGTACAGCCATAAAGTAAAGTCCAATAGCAAAAAGAGAGCAGGAAAATCATGATGTCATGGGAAGATGCAGTAAAAAAAAGGGCAAGGCAAAACACTATCAGTATCAACACAGTTCCTTTATTATCAGTCAGGCATTCTAAAAAAATATGTGTCCATAAAAATGATTCAAAAATCAAAATAATTGCACTGCAAATGAATGTTCTGCTGAAAAAAAAGAAACTGGAGCCACCAGTCCACCACCTAGTCCAAATCTGATAGTTCCATGGCCTTACCAATGGACTGGTTGTGTTGGACCACCTGGACAAACAAGGGAGGGAGAGGAGTAGTTCCAATTTGGAACAAGTGAGTCCCAGGCAGCGTGTGGTAGGTGTAGCTGTAGCGAAGATGATGGATAGAAGATAAGTGTACCCAAGTGAATGGGACAGCAATGAACATGGGCAATGCAAGGGGATGAACCTTCTCCAGCTCAAAAACTACCCACCCACGCTCCAACCAGGCGAGATGAGCAACTGATGTTTTGATAGCATATGATGGCAGATTGACATCATGAAGATAGACCTGTTGCCCTATTTGGACCGGCCGCCGGGGCTTTGCTGATATCAGCAGTGGAATGTGGTAGTCGATGGATCGGTGACGAAGCGGATAAAAAGTGGTGACATTGGAAATGGTGGGGGAGCAACAAAGATGAGGAGGAGGAGGCTAGAGGTGACAAAGAGGTGGATTAGAATGGGGATCCAGAAACAACTGTCGGGTGAGAATAAAAAGGAGAGGAAGGGGCCCATGGTGGGGCTAGGCAAAGGAAAGGGAGTAAGGGAAACTATGAAGGCGAGGGCGCAATGCAATGTGTAGCCAGTGGCGACGCAAAAATTTGCCAAAATGCCGAAACACGGAAAGTACAGAATAGAAAGCAAAGGTGAGCGCAACTGGAATGCCTAATAGAGGTGGTGCTGATCAGCCACAAGATTGAAAAAGGCAATATTAATTACTATTCCACGTGGCACCGTGCCTATGTGGCGCAAAGGCAAGTCTTTTTGAATATTTGCTTTGTTATTGACACCTGTCTATGCTACCAATCAACTTTGGTGCATGACAGCGCAGAGGACTTCCCCTTGTAAAATTAGATGTATTTATTCCCGTCTATAACATTGACGGTACACTTAATGTGGGTGGCCACATTATGCACCAATGTTCCTTTGTTGTTGAGTATCAAGGACACAGGGAACAAGTCACTGCTGAAGTTACCCAACTAGGGAAGATTAATTTAATATTGGGCTGGATCAGGCTATTCAAGCATAATCCTGAGATCAACTGGCAAACAGGGGTTGTCACATTGTCATATTGCCCTCAGGAGTGTGATGACTTGGGTAAGCCGAGTCATGTCCATCAAACTGAGCTTGATGAAAGAATAAACACTGATTATGTTTATGCCAAACTCAGATCTTTGGATAAGATTGATGATGAGAATGATGAGGTGAAACCTGAGGAAGAGATTAAGAAGCTGGTACCTCCCGAGTACCATGACTTCTGGAAAGTCTTTTCAAAACATAAGTCAGAGTACTTCCCAGAGGCTAAGCCTTGGGACCATGCTATAGATTTGAAGGACACCTTCAAATTGAGAAAAGAACACATGATACCACTCTCTGCTCCAGAAAAAGATGAGGTATCAAGTTTTATAGATGAACAGCTTAGGAAGGGTTACATCAGACTTTCCAAAAGCCCTATGACGTCCCCGGTGTTCTTCATTCCTAAAAAAGATGGTAAAAAGTGTATGATTATGGACTATTGTTACTTGAATGAGTACATGGTGAAGAACGGGTATGCGCTGCCTTTGATCAGTCAGCTAGTAGACAAATTGGCTGGTGCGAAGATCTTGACAAAGATGAATCTTAGATGGGGGTACAATAATGTATGAATCAAAGAAGAAGATGCTTGTAAGGCCACATTCACGTGCCACCAAGGATCCTTTGAGCCATTTGTCATGTTCTTTGGGTTGGCCGATTCACCGGTGACCTTCCAGAGCATGATGAATGAGATCTTTGTGGATATGGAAAACTGCGTTGTCAATTTATTAATATTTATGAAGCCGGATGATGAGGCTGAGCACAACAGGATCATGCAAGAAATCCTTTAACACTTACAGGATCAGGACCTATTCATCAAACCCAAAAAATATAATTTTAAAGTAAAAAAAGTAGACTTCCTTGGTATGATAATTGGCCAGAACAGAATCAGGATGGATCCTGAGAAAGTTCAAGCTATATTAGGTTGGCCTAAACCTACTTGTGTCAAAGGAGTTAGGGTCTTCCTTGGCTTAGGCAATTCCTACCAAAGGTTTGTTGAAATGAGACCGTTGTACAACCTCACTAAAAAAGATATTGTTTGACACTGGGGCACCAAAGAACAGGAAGCTTTTGATAAGCTTAAACAGGCATTTACAACAGCGCCCATATTAGCATTTCCAGAATTAGACAAAGAGTTCTGATTTTGCTACTGAGGCTGTTTTGTCAATCAAATGCCCTGATGATCTTTGGGGGTCTTGTGTTTATTTATTGCATATTTTGTTGCACACAAAATGCAACTATCAAATATATGACAAGGAGATTCTGGCCATCATTAGAGCTCTAGAGCACTGGCGGCACTACTTAGAAGGTGCTAGGTATCAATTTGAAATTTAGACTGATCATAAAAATCTGCAGTATTTTATGATGGCCTGGGACTTGAACCAAAGACAGGCCCGCTATATGGTATACCTGTCTAGGTTTAATTATAAATTAATTCATAAGCCTGATACTTCTATGGGAAAAGTGGATGCTTTATCTAGAGGAGAGGATCATGCCAATGGCATCAAAGATGACAACAAGGGTGTCACCCTGATAGATCAATCCAGGGTTGCCAATGTTCAAATCAGGCAGGATTCCAATCTTCTAGAAGTCTTCAAGATGGAAATTTCATCAGAAGAGAAGGCGCGCCTTGATGGCAATAAACATTAGTAATGGGAAGACAGGCTCTTCCATTTTAAAAACAAAATCTATGTGCCTGAGTTAGCAAGGATCAAGGCAATAAATAGACATCACAATACTCCAGTGGCTAGGCACCCTGGGTGGCAACGAACCATGGAGTTGATCTCCAGATATTACATGTGGCCTGGCATGGTAAAAGACATACAGGAATATGTGAAATCCTGTTTGGAATGTGCCATGGCAAAAAACTCTCACCAACCGCTGGCCGGTAAACTTAGGCCGAATCCAATACCAGCTGGTCCCTGGCAGAATATATCAGTTAATTTCACAATGGATCTACCCAAGCCGAATGGGTATGATTCAGTAATGGTGGTAGTAGATCACTTCTCCAAAGAAGTGGTATTTATTCCCACAAACAAAACTAGCACAGCTGCTGGTATAGCAGACTTATTTAAAGATTTTGTATGGTCTACCCACGGATTACCGGAAACAGTTATCTCTGATAGGGGACCCCAATTCACTAGCAAATTTACAAAAAAACTTTGTTGGATGCTGGGCATCAAACCTAAATTATTAATGGTGTTCCATCCACAGACTTATGGACAAATGGAGAGGCTCAACCAAGAATTTAAGCAATACCTTTGTATATTTATTAATGACAGGCAGACAAATTGAGCCAAAAGATAGCCCACATCAGGAAAAATGGGGGTAGCTATATAGAGCAAATATAAAGCTACACATGCTTATAGGTACTTATAAAGTTGTCATAACTGTTAGACCTGTTATAGAACCTCTGGCATTTATATAGCCACATATAGGCTCTTATAGATGACCCAAAACTATTATAGGCTTTTATAGATGTTGGGGATCTTTTTCTACTTTTAGAGTCAAGTCAACTAATTATAGTTTTTGCCTAGGTTTTATGGTCTTTATAGAAAAAATAGCTGTAATATAAGTCTTATAGCTTTCACATTGTTTAATATGTACCTATCGATTGGATCAATTATTTAGACATTTATTGTCATTATAACTTCAAGGGTAATGCAAAAAATGCGTAATATCAAAAACAATATCAAAAATGCACAATATCATTAAAAAATTCAAACACTCTAGACTATGAATAGACTATGAATAGACTTTGCTACTAACAGAGTACTTATGATACCATAGGTTCCTCTAAAGCATCAAAGTCAATCCCATAATCTTTGTCTTGAGGTTTTTGATTAAGATATTGAAGATTGGCTGATTGTTTGTATATATATATATATATCGCATTAGCTAAGGGATAGGCAGTAGATATATACCACTTACAAAATGCTTTGGTAAAGATTATTCCTCATTTGAGTCACCCAACCAGGGCAACACTCCTGGAGTGTAGAGAGCTTCTCAAAGTAGAATCCCCATCTACTAATAAGATTAGACAGAACTATTTTAAATGTGATTGGAACTCACCTAGCTTTGAATATATTCTCAGAAAAATCTTGTACGCCTTACCACCACTATTATAGGCTCTAAGAGCACACTCAACCTAGTGGATAAGTAAGTAAATATTCAAGAGTAGGAAGAAGAAGTTATACCGCAGAGGCAACCAGTGCAAGTAGAGGCAGAGGAATACCTTTGAAAATATGTGCGTACCTAACTTTTCACCTTTTCTTCTAAACCATTGGTTCCTTATGAGATTCTTGAAAATAGGGTTTGAGAATGGCCTTTGCTTGTTATAGGTTCTTCCCTGATACCCATAAGTTGTAATACAATGGAAAATGTTACAATAACACAATTTTTGAACCTTTAAATTTCATTTTCCTCGTCAACTTTCTTTTGTAGTTTTCACACCCTGTGCCATGCGGCGCTTTCTATTATTGTTCAAAACTCCACTTCTTGCGCTGCACTGCCTTTTTCTTATTTTTGGATACAAGTTTCTCACACAGTGGAGCTGGTCACACGGGCTGTGCCCCATAACATTATCAGCCACTGCCTCCATCAACTGTACAGTACACATGTACAAACATACCTGTAGTAGTATATATACCCCAATAGATCAAGGAGACTCCTTAGCAAGTCCTCTTGTTGTTTACCCACAACTAACTCAGTCCTATCCTAAGGGTAACCACTCCCCTCACTACCTTTATAGCTTTGTCTGAGTTGTGCGCCAGAGTATCAAAACTTTGGTTGTTACAAAAAAAATAGTTCTTACTTTGATATCAAGGTCCCCATCAGTAAATGTGCATGTATTAATCAACCACCGAACAGCAAGTTTGATTTTTTCAGGAGATATATCCCCTGGGATACCATATGCACCATTGATCATGAGTCTGGCCTTGGCTACAACCTTTCCCCGTATTTGGGGCCCAGCAGGCCATACCTAGAAATTCAAGCAAGAGTTAAAACCAAATCACAGCAATGAAAGAATACACTCACGTAATCCATCATGAAGATTTTCAACACTTCATTTTCTTCAACCTCCCTTAATTTGGATTCAAAGCTGTTGCTAATCTTGGAGCTTTCAATGACTATTTGCCATGAGATATCAGACCATATATTAGAAGCAGGGATCCTTCATTTGTTGCAATATAAAGACACATTTGAGTATGGGCTTCTATAGCTAGCTGTGCCAAAGAAGGAGGGAAAAGAGCTAGTATAGGTTTGCACTTCCTAGGCATAGCAGAAGATGAAAATACACTAGCCATTGCTGTGCTTAATGTGCAACTGGAAGGTTGAATAGAAGGAGCTGTTAGTTTTGGTGATTCTGCACCTTTGTGCTACCTATATATTTTCATTCCTTTCTCTATCTATTCTTCTATCATTCACTATTGATTGTGTTCTCTATTATTTCGCCTTTGTGGCTGCTTTGTTTACCTTTGTTTACAAAACTTCGGACAGTACTGCAGAGTCCAATGCTTCCTATTCTTTAGTTACTCACATTGGACTCTAGGTACTGTATACCTGTCATACTCTCTAATAATCTAGTTACTCACATTGGACTCTAGTTCCAGTCCCTGATTGCTCTCAGCAAGTGGCTAGACACTTCCTTCAAGCTTTGTTCTTAATAGGAGCTGCAGATGGCAAGCAAGATGGTGTGCTAGTGCTTTCACCAATATTACCAGCTTGTTTGGCGTCCTATATACATATGTGAAGATGTTAACTTTTATTGAGAGTAGATAGATATACTCACTTTTCTGCCTTGCATCTGGGAATTATCGCCATCCTCCTCCTCTATACTTCTTATATAAAAGACAACTTTGATATACAAGATAAAGGAATTGTACCTTCTTGTTCACTATCCCCTCTAACAGTGTTCCTATACTCTTCTGTATCTGTATTGTCATCCCCACCCCACCCTCATCTTCATTTTCATTATTTATAGGCCTCCAGGATCTAGGTTGAGTTGAAGGTGGAGTCTGGACCATGTTACTATTATTCTCTTTATCCTGGTCATCTACTACCTCCCTCCTATGCCTACACTTCTGGGAGGGTGGCAGTGGGGCATCCTCCCCCTCATCCTCTTTATCAAGAGTATCAGCAGTACATTTCAGGATTTCCAAATAGCATTAGTAGAATATAATATTTTATGTGAGATTTAAAAAAACAAATACCTTGACGCTGTCTCTCCAAAAATGTTTTTTGAGCTGCTTTGCTGGCAGCCCTAGTTTGAGCTTTCCCAACTTCCTTAAGCCTCTCATACACCCCAGCATCTTATGTAACCTTACCCTTCTGATATTTGGTTTTACTGGAAGCAATTTTTTTAGCCAATGAACCTGCAATATGTGGGGAGGATTAAATCATCACATGTCAAATTTTGGCGTGGGAGCATCTGAAAGTGTACTAACTTCACAAAGAAAAGACGTGCAAAAAGCTAAGCTATATTCTGTTACAAAATTGGATGTTAAAAAAAAAAAAACAGCATGCAAAAGTTTTATGGTATGCACTGTTTGCTTTGATATTCCTTTGAACTAAATCTTAAATGGTCGTAGCTGAGCACACATGTTTGCAAGCGTGAAAAATGATGTGAACACAATTTATCCTATAAATCACCTCTCCCACCCTATAAAGAATGACCTCAAAAAAAGTTGTGTTCAAATATGGGAGAACCTTACACAATCATAGTGGTTGGATGGCTTTTACTCCTTCACTATACCACTATAATATCCATCCCAAAATGGTTAATTGAGGTCACCTCATTGGAAAAAACTCTTAACAACTTGGCATGCACTACCTACATCATTGATCAAGAAGTCAAAATCTGTTTAAGAGTTTAGACCACTGTGACAAGGTCATTAATGCATACAGTGACGTGTGATTGTGCAACACTGTAGCTTGTCAATGTAGAGGCACATGAACACATTGTAGACGAGGCAGCAAGCGGGCCTTAGGGGGGACACTTTTTTGGTGAGTGCCACTTTAAATTATCCAATATCACCCATATCCCTAGCTTATGCACATATTTTGGCACGGGTAAAAGAGGTTAGCACAGAAAGTAACAAGGAGTCATAGTGGTAGGGAGAAGGCATGGCAGGAAGGGGGAACAGTAGTGACAATAGTGGGCAAGGTGGGTAGCAAGAAGGCATGACAGGAAGGAGGGATAGTGCTGGCCATAGTGGGTGAGGAGGTAAAGACAGGGATATAGTATGGTGCTGGCAAGTGAGATTGTGATAAGTGTTGGAATGAAAGCATCAAACAAACATACCTTGTATTTGTGCACTCTAGTCTGATTTGTCTTCAGATGAAGAATCAATAGCCTTCATGTTCTTTTGTGACCCCCCATTCCTTCTACATTTCTATGGGGCACATCCCGCTCTTTCCCCGGCTGTACTCTGGCTACATTGCTGACCACCCCTGTTCTGCCTTTTATGTGGTTTCCCAGCATCTGAACACTTCTTTCTTTTCCTCTGTATAACCTCGCCTGCAAGCTGGCGCTCTTCCAGGTCCTTCTTATGTTCCTGAAGCTCATGTGCTGAGAGCTTGACCCAACAATAACTCCCGGTCTTCTGAGTATTGTAGAGCTTTCGGGTTTCTGCTACAGTGCCAATAGCTGATGGATTAACAAATGGCACACCTGCTGGCCAGCCCACAATTCTAATGCCATGTGTAGCAACCATGGCCATATCATAGTTCTTATACACCATCTTAACCTTATGTTTCAATTTCCTATCTAGTGTATCAGTAGGGGGCTCAATAGATATGCAAAGTAATGTACACAGCCCACTTCTGTGACAACACCAACAAGACACAGTCTTGGGGCACTGGAGCACAACCACAACAACAAATCAATAGAGGAAAGGAAGTGCACAACCCATTAAGAGAGGGAACTTGTTATACTAATGTTGGTAGACACTAGAAGAGGACTCACTGAGTCCCTCCCCATGCATTGCTCCAGTATATATACTAAAATACACGAGGTACTGTATAGTTGTAAATAAAGTTCAAAGTCTGATGTCTAGCATGTGACTGGTCACATAACAGGTCTAGACACTGGTCAGGTGATGTGTCACATGATTGGCCATGTGACTATAAAAAGTCTGCAATGTAAAGTAAACTCAATGGTCATGTGATCAGTCACATGACTTGAAAAAAGAAAAGTAAAAGTACAAAAGTGAAGTATAAGTAGGTGCTGGTATGTCAATTGTAACAACTTCTGCAGAATTGAATACCTAGAAGACTATAAGGAGACAGAACAGCAAAGGTAAGGAAACATACTTTGATTGCGTGAACATGCCCATTGCTCAAACAGTATTGCAATTTTGTTCAGATTTCTCTCAATGATGTCCTCCCAGACATTATCACTTCTGTATTGTGTTGGTGCCCCAGTATTGTATATGTGGCCTCTTGTGGAAAGGATGTCTGTGTGCCCCGTTTTGTAAGGCAACATTATCAAACTAAGGCCAAAAAATCAGTAAAATGCAACATAATATGAAATAACACACCTCCTTTCCAATCCTGTCAGCAGTCAGTATCATGTCTTGTACTGCTGCTGCATTAGTTGGCTACTAGTGGTTTTAACTTCATGCAAATCAAGTAAGTGACTCTGAAGCTGGTTGTGCTCTTCTTCTCTTCAGCTAAGGAGTAGGTTACACTGCCCACCAAATTCTGTATGTCTTAAAGTTTCTTCCCACCAATAGGCAAGTCTAGCAGGGAAATTTAGGCTTGATGTAAATTAATACAAGTCTATGTATATCTATCATTGATGCTAAAAAGAACAACAGTCAGTGTGTCCATCCATCACATGCAACTTTACGCATCTACCATTACACATCCATGATTTCCCTTGTATGTTAGTGTTTTTGGTGGATGAGGGTCATGAAACAGAGCACTTATAGTCTAACTTCTGTTGTAGAACATAGCAAGGACACTGTTAGTGAATTTCAAGAGTACTGACAAAATCACACACCTCTGGTTCGCACACGCATCTGTATGTGATGTGGTCAGACCCTCGTAAATTTCTAATAGAGCGGAAAGGAGCTTGTCAGTAAGATTCAAGAATACCGACAAAAGTTAATTACCTGGCTCACCCATGAAATCCAAAGGCCCTGTAAACATACCAGTCAGTGAACTAAGTAATGGGTCAGATATATATATACCAGCACAAAGTTAGCTGCCAGTGACAATGTGGCCTTGTTGAGGCTTACTAGTATTGTCACCTTGATTGAACACTAATGGGGTGAGAGTGTGAGGTCCAGTATGACAATCACTGTAACAAGGATCATCACAATAATCACACATTTGCCAAATCTTGAGATGCTAGGTCAACTTAGTGTCATGCCAGCATGGAAATGTCAAATGTCATACAAGGTATGTGCTATGCTATTTTACATGTTGTAATATTCCTGATTGCTGTTAGCTTCTTGTAAGTCTTCACTGTCAAAGTCTATATCCTACATGCTAGTGGATAGTACTCTTGGAGCGTACTCGTCCAATTTCAATTCAAAAAACCTGACCTCCAATGTCACAGCCACAATCATCTCATATAACCTCAAAGTGATGCCCACTAGTTCACTCGCCTCAGTACTGGACAGGTAGGAGAGGATGAATTCTTTGATTTTCTTCAAAGGATCCCTTTTTTTGCATGCATGATAATTGCATGTCAACAGCTCATACTTGATCCCTAGCGGCCCTCAGTTTTCAGCTCCATTCAACTCTTCCTTGAAGCACCTATTCCAGTTATTTTGAGGTCCCCAGCCCATCTTCCACTCCCTAACAACATAATCTAGTCCAACCAGCTTCTTGAGAACCTGTGCATTTTGCAGCTGTAAAGTCTCATCTGTTGGGTCAACAATCTCCTGGTGAGATTGAACATCATTTTTTGTAGGTGATCTAGTGCTGAGTTTATTGGGTTTAATGTCTTTGTGAGTATCCTTACATTTCCTGGGTATCAGAGGTATGCCTATTGTTTCATTGTTCTGATAATATTCAAGCTAACATACTTTGCTCGATTTCTACATAGTAATTAGACATAGTTCCAGAATTCTGAAGAGGACAAATTCTCAAGTCTGAACTCCCAAATCTTTGGTATTTTTGGGATTACGCTCCTTGTGTTTGGCCATTTGGCATAACCCTGTACCCCACCTCCACATGGTACTCTGGACATCCACTCCAACACTCCTGCACCAAACTGCTAGTCCGCCATGCATTTCCTCCACACATTCTCATTTCCTCATAGACTCTGTAGTTTAGACTTTATGGTACACTCCTCCCACATATGATTTCTGCTTGCTAGATAATTGTCCACATGGAACTCTGTACCTACATTACAAGTTACTTCTTACAAACTCCTATTCCTCTGATAGTATATAAGTTGTAACTCCTGTACTCCATTCCTGCAGTTCAAATATCAACTAGTTCCCCTCACCTTTATTCAAGTCCCCTTCTAAGTTTTCTGGTCCTTGTTACAATAACACAATTTTTGGACCTTTAAATTTCATTCTCCTCTTCAACTTTCTTTTGTAGTTTTCACACCCTTGCTATGTGGCACTTTCCATTATTGTTCAAACTCCACTTCTCACGCTGTACTGCCTTTTCTATTTTTGGATATAAGTTTCTCACAAAGTAGAGCTGGTCACACGGGCTGTGCCTCATGACATCATCAGCCACTGCCTCCATCAACTGTACAGTACACATGTACAAACAAACTGTAGTAGTACATGTACCCCAATAGATCAAGGAGACTCCTCAGCGAGTCCTCCTGTTGTTTACCCACAACTAACTTAAAGGGTAACCACTCCCCTCACCTCTTTATAGCTTTGTCTGAGTTGTGTGCCAGAGTATACAAACTTTTGGTCGTTACACCAATGAACCTAGATGGCTCTGAATCAGCTCCAGGAGGCTGTACAACAAGTGCACCTCCTGCCCACCCAGTTCACCCAGTCTCAACCAAGACCAGTGCTGTGACCAAGAGCCACAGGATGGGCAATGACGATGATGCAGACACATTGCCATCTCGATATAAGCATTGCAAGCAGTGTTGCAAATGCTGTGACAGACATGTCACAACACATCCACCACCAACACCACAGCTACAACCACTTCCTCCAGCAACCCCAGCACCTCCGCCAACATCACCACCACCATTTCCCTCAACCGACCCCAATTGTTCAAATGTGCCGCCACATTGACAATGCAACCACACAAACAAGCACCACAAGAAGGAGGCAGTCAGAGGATGACAAAGAGCTAGGGCCAGAAAGCGGGGGAGGAGGCAGACTCAGAAGCAGCAAGGTAATCCTGCTGCAGCTGCATCCACCCCCTATCCTTCTGCTCCATGCCCCCTGCACATTACCCGCTTGAGCAGACAGCAAGGACAACGCAGTTTGCGTCATTTGCGTTGCTGCTGTAATGGCAGTGTGCCACCGAGTGAATACACACGCGCCAGTGTCAATGTTGATGCTGGAGTGTGTGCAAGCCCCACTGCTGGGATCTCATGCAATTGCGCAATGTCCTCAGGGACCTCCCTGGTCCCAAGGCTCAGGCAGTTGTTGAGTTGATGACTGCTTCGTCCACCCCCATTCCCCGCTCTCTGCTTGCTCGCACATCAAGCAGGCAGTGAGAATGACGTGATTTGCGTTGTTCATGCTCCTACTTCAATAGCAGTGGCACCCCACCTGTGTGTGCAGGCATTTCCATCTCGTGCGCCATGCACAAGATGTTGTCTGCATGGCAACAACAACATTTTTTGCATTGTCCATGCCTATGCAGGGACTTTCATAGTCCCTGTTCCGAGGCTGAAACAATGACTACCTCACTCTCCACCCTACCGCCTCTCTCTTTTTGCACCACACAGCTGCAAAAACAAAGGCGCAAACAACGCAATTTGTGTCATCTACGTGTTGTTTCTACAGTGCAAGGTCTCACTGCACCCGGTGCAGCAAAAGATCCTGAGGCTCCACCCTCAGGCCATTTTCATTTGCCTGACTCTCCCCCTCTACACCATGCACGAGAGGGAGTGGCTTATGCTGTGAAGGGACAGAGCAAATGATGTAACCTGTGTTGTTTGCAGGTTGCTTCAATAGTGCATGCCCCTGCTGCATGTGTTGCAATGGAAGGGCCTGGGGTTAAGGCCCTAGGCCACCATTTTCCCTTATCATCTCTGCACTTTGTATGAGAGGGGATTACTTGCACTGCAAAGCTCAGTGCCCCATGTCAAGTTACCAATGCTTGGCAACTAGCCCTATGCCAGCAGGTACTGGCATTATACCTGTGCTTATGGAGCATATTTTTGCATCTGTGGATGCAGTTTTCCTGTCCAAACACAGAATTCAGTTTTCAGGGGGCATATAGGGAGGTACTCACTACCTCAGAGAACCATCCATGGATGGGCCTAGAGGCGGACCCGTAAGCAATGAGTGAGTGAGTGAGGGAAAGCAAGGGAGAGGAGAGAGTAGGGACAGATAATTTTTTCTCTTTCTCTTGTATAACTTCTACTGACTCGATTTCTAAGTTTCTTTTCTTTTCTTTTACTGTCTTTATTTTCAAGACTTTCTCCCTATTCTTTTTTTTTAGGGGGGGAGGGTGTGAGGGTGGCACCCTTCCTAGTCCTTACCTAATACTTACAGCCACATTTCCGCTTTTCTAGCATTATGTAATAACCTTATCTAGACAATCATCTAAAATCACTACCACTACGTTGCATACCTTGTACTAGCTATTACAGCAATATGACGAGGCCTTGTATACTTGTGGTTTGATTAAAGGTAAAATCTTTACACATGGCTTTTTCCTCCTTATCGCTGATATGGTACAGAGTGGTGAGCTGTTAGTCTTCCCCTGGCTGATGCATGCTCATTTGATGAACAATATTATTCAGTGCGAAATATCCTCTCGCTGTTGTAGAGAAACTTCTGGATTCCTTTGGTGATGGCCTTGCTAGGGGATTCAACATCAATTGCAAGTTCAAAACTACACTGAGCAGAAGCCTAAGTGCGTGTCCATGAAATTCACCAACAAGGCATGTGTGGTTGAGCTCCTGAGCACATCTCCCCAGTGGGCTTCTTTGCCAGCTGGATTACCTTGCAACCTGAATCACGGACCTTGGTCTCAAGAATCTAGAATGTTGTGAGAGAGCCTTCTTGAAATCAAATGCTTTAGCATCATCTGTCTGCTATTTATGTGTTTTTCATTGCAATCAGGCTATCATCTCATGTTTTGAGCAAAATGATACTTTTGAAGTATACCAAAACCTTAATAAGTTTTTCTGTTTATTCTTTTACCCGCCAATATTGATATCCTATAGCAATGTTCCTGTACAATAACTACAAGCAGGCACTGGATATCCTTGTCACTGGTCCCATCAATCTGGCCTGCAATGCAAAAACTCAATTTCAATGAAAGTGTCTTTGAGTGTTGGCTCAGAGAAGGAGAAGACTATCTCAATAGTTTATGCAAAGAACCCCAGGAGGAAACACTCCAAATGGAGTATTTGGAGCTTTTGATAGAACTGCAGGATAAGAGAGTGTATGTGATCCCTATCTGAACCTGCAAGATGATAAGTGCTGTATTCCCTTGTAGACTTAAACTAAACACTCTACTCAAAATCTCATCCCACTTTGCAACTACAGCTTCTGCAATGTCAGGTTCAACTCAAAAGCTCAAAACAGCACATCACCATGCCACGAAAAAATTCAACAAGGAGCTAGAGAAGGTTCACCAGATGGAAATGATGTTCTATATTGTTCAATGATGGACAAGCAACAGTAAACAATGGCAAACTACAGAAAGATTGCTGGTGATGCACAAGTACCAGTGATCATTGGACCACCTAGTGTTACAATAACACAATTTTCGGACCTTTCCTTCATTTTCATTCTCTGTTTTAACCTTGTATACTTTAGCTTTCACACATGGTGCCACGCGGCACTTCCCCTTTTGTTTAAACTCCTCTTTCTCGCGCTTGGTCATGCGAGCTAGGCCCTATGACATCATCAGCCACTGACTTTATCAACTGTACAGTACATAAGTACAAACACTCTGTATTAGTATATATACCCCAATAGATCCAGGAGACTCCTTAGCGAGTCCTCCTGTTGTTAACCAACAAACTCTCTGCAGCCTAAGGGGTAACCACTCCCCATTCACTACCTTTATAGTGTGTTCCTGTGTGCGCCAGAGTAACTAACTCTTGGTTGTTACATTAGGACTCGCTCTTCTACTCTCTCGCACATTGTGCAAAAGTCCCACTGGGCACCCGGACTCCAGGGTGAAGGAGATTTGGTTATTCCCTGGGAATATCCCGCATAGCAGATAGGTGCGCTCCTAGCGACGGCCTTGTAGTGCTTTGGGAGAAGAACCAATACCTTCAATACGCGGCCCCCAGTGTTAAGGGGAGTACTTAGCTCAGCAGTTGGTGTGGAACCACTGTTGATTAGAATTTACATACAAAACTTCACTTTCTCTATCCTCTGACCAGGCCAGGCACTTGCCTCTGCCAGTCTGGAGAAGGGTTGACAGCTTAACAAGCGAACCACCCCCTGACAACCGTTCGGACCAGGGTTTTATAAAAATACTTTATATATACAATTTCAAATACTATAGTGTGGGTAGTCGGAGATTGAGATCTGATACTCAGCTGGGAAGAGGTTGATCCGCAGATAGCAAGCGGGGACCCCCAGTTACCTTTTTTTTTACATTACCAAAGAGAACAAGTTGACATGTCGTCGCAACCAGATATCAACGGTCTGCTGCGCGACATGCATGCGCAGATTCAGGTGTTAACTACGCAACTCACCGAGATTCAGGTGTTAACTACGCAACTCGCCGAGCTACAGGCAAACCCCCCTGCAGTAACCCCCTCGGTAGAGAAGTTCAATAAGAAAGTTGAAGTCGTCACTGACCCTGGCGCCTTCAAGGGAGACAGAGCGCAATTTGCTGAATGGTGGATCAAACTCCAGATTTGGGTTAAGGCAAACTGGGACGCATTTGCCGATGACTTTGAGGTAGCCACTGCGGTGCTATCTCGACTAAAAGGACCTGTGGCGGGTCGATACACCCAAGTAAGACTTCAGGAGTGCTACACCGCAGGAGTGTGGCCCACCTGGGATGATCTCAAAGTAGAGATCAAAAAATATTTCAGGCCGCAAGCTGAGCGTGACTGGGCGTGTTGGCAAATCTGTTCCTTCAAACAAGGCAACATGAGGACGGATGATTTTGTAACCCGGTTCCTGGCCCTCTCCATCCAAGGGGGTCTTGGTAATGAACATGCAGTGGAGCCGCTGGAACGCAATGTGAACCCCCACATTGCAGAACAGCTTTATCTGCAGGATATGAGAAATGAGAATCTCTCTCAAGCAGCAGAGGAGGTTCGGAAAATAGGTAGGGCCATAGAGCTCTACAAAATGCACCAAGGTGGCGAGACCACCTTAAACAACCAATCCCAGAGGCGCCCTGGGTCATCAAACCATCATAATCACTTGCACAGGTTCAAGCCGTTCGGGCTGCAGCCAGGACAGGGTGCTCCTATGGATATTGGCACGGTCCAAGGCAGACAGATGCGCAGATTCAAGGGCAACTGTTACAACTGTGGCCAAGAGGGACACATGTCCCGAGATTGCAGAAACGGGGTGCAGGCCACCCAACAAAAAATAACCAAGGGCGCCAGGCACGCCAATTAGAATCCAAAAAACCAGACGATCGGCTCCAGACTCTGGCCGGCCGTTCGTACGACGAAATCCGGGCCTTCTTCTACGATCAGCAGGCTGCTGAAATGAAGGCTCAGGGAAAAGAGTTCGGAGCTTAGGTCACTTGGGTGCCTTCGCTCCACGAAACAATGAAGTAAACCACAACAAAGTGGCCCCTGCTCCGGGGTGTTGCACGAGCAATAATGGAAAGAAGGGGATGGCTCCCCAATTTGTAAATAGATTTCAAAATTTATCAGAAATATGTACTTGTATGAAGCATTGTAACTGTAATATTTATGATACTACCGCTGCACCAGCGTCTCCCTTGGAGCGTGGCCCTGGCGAGACAAACAATAGGGTGCTTGATTCTGGGAAAAATAAAATATAAAAACATGTAACTTTTGATACCTCTTCTTCCTCACTGGAGCCACCCTTTTCCAAAACCCCGAGGCATGTGTTGATGCGCACGTATTTATTCCAAAAGGAGATCTGTTTAGATGTTGGTGTGGAAAACCTTGCCCGGGGCATAGTACACCCAACCAGCACACTGCTCGATTCAGGCGTTAACAGAATCTGTTAGTTTTGGTGATTCTGCACCTTTGTGCTACCTATATATTTTCATTCCTTTCTCTATCTATTCTTCTATCATTCACTATTGATTGTGTTTTCTATTATTCCGCCTTTGTGGCTGCTTTGTTTACCTTTGTTTACAAAACTTCGGACAGTACTGCAGAGTCCAATGCTTCCTATTCTCTAGTTACTCACATTGGACTCTAGTTCCAGTCCCTGATTGCTCTCAGCAAGTGGCTAGACACTTCCTTCAAGCTTTGTTCATAATAGGTTATGAGCCCTGTGCTCTAGCCATCTTCCTGACCTCATATCTCACCATCCAAGTGTCCTACTGCTTATCCATCGTAACCATCGTCTTCTGGGACTCTTATTATCTCATCCATCACCTCAAATTACTCTGATCTCATCTTGATCTCCAACAACAACTCCTTGTTGCAAGTTACCCCCATTTCGGACGCTTTTTTGGTCTTATCTGCACCATATCTCCTTATCTGATCGTCCTGTAACTTCTACCATCATCTTCTACGGCCTAAATAACCCCAGAAGGCCTGTCAGAGCGGTTGGATTTCAGCTGGATCTTTCTGTGAGCCTTCATCATCATTTGATCACCTTTTGGCCCCCTATTCCATATCTCCACATCCTGTGCTCGGATCTTGGCCCTATTTGAGCCATCTACTACCCTATACCATTGCACTTTACACCCTCAATTTGGGGGCAATTCATCCACTCCATCATCCTCTGTGAAGTTCGCATTTTTGGCACTTTCACCCCTATTGGACCCCTATTGCATATCTCCACATCCTGTGCTTCACTTCTTGTGATATTTAGGCCATCTATTACTCTATAAAAATGTTCCCTATACCTCTGATTTGGTGGCAATCCATCCATCTTATCTGTCTCTGCATCAATTTCGACTTTTTGCCCTATTTTTCGCTTTTTGGCATATCTGGTGTGTGCATAAAGCTCCAATCTTCTCTACTCTGTCCATTATCAGATAGAACAAGCCTATAGACTGTGAAGCTCGCCTGCATTGCCTCAGTTTGCTGTTGCCTAGAGCCTCTCTCAGTCTGCGATGTTTGGGGAGCTTAAGTCACTTTGTTGACTCATATATAAACCCTATTAACCAACACTGTCTCGAGGCAATTTCTCTGTTAATATCAGTGTGGAATTGAAAGGGGAACACAGGCGTAACCCTGTAGCAGCACTAGAAAGCCTTAGCACCCTCCTGGATTGCTTTTGGACGCTTTTTGGACCCTATTTGGACCTATCCTTGCGCTTTCTGACCCTCTCCATATCCTCTCTCTACCGCCTCACCATCTTATCTGCTCGCCTCCTACTGTTGCCCATTGTCTTTGCCACTATTCCATCGCCTATAGCCATCTCCTACATTATTTATCATTGCTCTATTGTCTTATACAACACCCATCATGTCTGACTCTGATCCCAAGTTCCATCCCTTATCTGGCACTAACTACCCCCAGTGGAGTGGTGAAATGCAAGCTTGGTTGATGACCAAGGGACTGTGGAGGCTCGTCTCTGGCGCTGAAAAGTGTCCTGGGACTGACGCTGAAGCAATAGAGAAATGGGAGTTGAGAGCTGAAAAGGCTGCTGGTGCATTACATCTCAATGTCACCAAAGAGCAGCGCATCCATCTTGATGGCATCATTGATGATCCTGTCAAGATCTGGGAGTAACTGGCAATTGTGCACGTCTCTAAGAAGCCTGGGACGAGATTTAATGCCTATGACAACTTCTTCTCTATCAGAAAGAAGGAGGACGAGTCCCTGCAGTCTCTCATGACCAGAATTGACGAAGGCATGCATCAGATTCAAAATCTTCGTCCTACTGGCTTCTCATTGTCTGAATTGGACGATGAATTGACATGCATGGCCATGATTAGGGTGCTTCCTGATCAATATGCCCACTTCACTTCATCTCTACTACTTCTGGGCACCTTGGACAAGACCCAGCTCAGGGATGCTTTCCTTGCTGAAGAGGTCAATCGCCGTCGTCGTGCTGAAGTCGATTCTGCCTTGCATTCTTCGTCTACCACTGCCAATAGCACCTGCACCCATCCTAACTGCCATCATTGCAACCAATCCACCACCTCTACTCGCGTTCAGTGTGATTTCTGTGGTTTACTTGGACATACCCAAGACAAATGCCACAGATACATTGCTAGTCGCCAACAGGCAGTGGAGGGTGCTAAGAATCGCTACAAGCGTGGCAATAAGGCTCAGGCAGGCTCCAGCAACTCTCAGAATACCTCTCAGCAGCCCAAATCTTCGCCCAACAATGCCAATTCATCTACTGTGGTCACTGAATCAGCTGGGAATGCAAGTCTTTGTTCCATTCATCCCTCTGATCCTCATTGCCCTCTCCAACTTGATGCTGACATTGATTGGAATGCAGACACAGATGCCACTTCTCATATGACACCTCATTGTCATTGGATGCACCACTATACCCCATATTGTGTGCCAATCAAGCTGGCTGATCACACTGTTGTCTATTCAGCTGGTGTTGGTACTGTGGTGTTTAATCCTGTGATGCATGGCAAAGTGGCTAGGGCTGTGGAATTCTCTAGAGTGCTCCATGTACCAGATCTTCGAAATAATCTCCTCTCAGTCTTGTATTTAACCCGTCAAAGTGGTTTCAATGTCACTATTTCGTCTCATTCCATGTCCTTTATGCGTGACAACACTCTCTTGTTCACTGCAACTATCAATAACAACAATGCAGCATTCCTTGATGGATCTACTGCTGCTTGTGTTGAATTGGGACATTTTACTGCGACTATACCACTTGATTTGATGCTCTGGCATCGCAGATTGGCTCACCACCATCATGCTGATGTCAAGAGACTGATACAGAGAGATCTGGTCACTGGGCTTACACTGGAATCCAAGGCTGCTCCTGATCCTGTCTGTGAACCGTGCTTGTCTGGCAAGATGCATGCCAATCCATTCCCCTCATCTGATACTCGCTCTGCTCATCCTTTGGACCTCATCCATTCTGATGTACACCAAGTCTCTTCCCCCACATTCTTTGGTTATCGCTACTGGGTCACCTTCATTGATGATCACAGTTGATTCCGTGTTGTTGTGCCTCTCAAGGCCAAGTCAGATGTCTTTGATGCTTTCAAGAGATTCAAGGCTTATGCTGAGACTCAATTGGAGCGTAAAATCAAGGCTCTGCGCGATGACAAAGGGGGAGAGTGCATGTCCAAGGAATTTGAGCAATTCACAGATGACCATGGGATTGTCAGACAGCATACCACCAGGAATTGTCTTCAGCAGAATGGTGTGGCAGAGCAAGCAAACAGACTTCTGACTGAGCGTATCACTGCCATGTTATCAGAATCTGCATTGCCTAACAGCTTCTGGGGTGAATGTCTGTCCGCTTTGGTGCATGTCTGGAACAGGTGTCCCACTGATGCAGTGGCCCATGCCACTCCATTTGAGTTGTGGTATGGACGCAAGCCTGACATGTCTCACCTTCGCGTTTGGGGCTGCACTGCCTATGTGCATGTGCAAAAGGACAAAAGAGGCATTTTTGGCTCTCATATGGAGAAATGTGTGTTCATTGGTTACCCTGAGGGGTACAAGGGATGGAAATTCTACAATCCTACCACCAAGCGCACTGTTATCTCTGAGAGAGCTGATTTTGATGAGCGCTACTTCCCTGGCTTGAAGAGGCCTTCTAACAATGTCCCGCCTCCACCTCCCACTCCACCTTCACTATCCATGCCATTGGGCCTGATTGAGGATGTCCCTGCACCAGGTCCAGGGGGAGATATGGGCCCACCAGCTGCACTTCAGCAGCCTCAGCCATTGCCTGACAATGGGCCTCATTTGGACCTTGATGCAAAACCACCTGTGAATCAACCTCCTGAGCTTCCAAATCACCCTCCTCATTGCTCACCTTCTCCTGACTTGCCTATTGCACTGAGACGCCCTGTAAGGGCTAGGAGACCACCTAGACCATGGTGGCTTCAACACAGACAACCTACTCCTGCAATTGAGAGTGATGACAGTGATTCTGAGGCAGTTGATGATGAAGTGGCACACTTTGGAGACTCTGCTGAGCCTAAGTCATTTGCAGATGCAATGAAGCGTCCTGATGCAGATAAATGGAGAGAGGCAGCCATGGAAGAGCTTCAAGCTCATGAGCGCAATGGTACTTGGTCACTAGTGGAACTATCTCCTGGAGTCAAGGCTATTGGTGGCAAGTGGGTCTTCAAGATCAAGCGCAACTCAGATGGCACTGTTGGGCGCTACAAGGCCAGATATGTGGCCAAAGGTTATAACCAGCGCACTGGCTTTGATTTCCTCGAAATATTTGCACCTACTGTCCGCATATCATCCATCAGAGTTGTCCTTGCCATTGCAGCCATCCACAACCTCCATTTGCGCTCCATTGACATTTCCCATGCATTCCTGAATAGAGTCATGGATGTCAAGGTCTACATGCATCAGCCAGAGGGATTCCATCAGGGTCCTCGCAATCTTGTTTGCCAGTTGGACAAGGCCATCTATGGGACAAAGCA